TGGGGGCTATCCTATTTAAAACTGCACTATCATTGCCGCTGCAACGATGCTGGGATACTGTATCAGTCAGGGTGTTCCTTGAGCTGGTCCTCTGGCCCGACAATGATCTGAGAAGAAGTAAACAGACTCAACACGGTGCTGTCGTAGCAGCGACCGAGGCCTGCGTTGCACTTTACACTACCGGCGTCCATGTGGATTATCAACACACAGAAAAAGCATCAAATACTGTGGATGTCTGTTCAGTTATCACCTCAGCCAAAGAGGTTATGTTTTCATCGCTGTTTGTCTGACTGTTAATGGAATTACCACGAAATTTTGTGGAAAGGTGGATTATGCACCAATACAATCACAGAGTCCATTGGCTATCATCTGACAACAAATTGGCCTCCGGGGGCAACGGCCAACAATTTTGGGCCTCTGGTGTTGACAGCGGATATTTCATTCTTTAACATTCCAAGTTTGGGTATTAGTAATACTACTAATTTCAAATTGAGCAAACTTTAGAAAGGATTTCAATTGTTATCTGCTTCATTGAGGAAATTATGTATTCGTAAGATACTGAAATGAACAGCACTCAGAAGCAAATTGCACTAATAGATATGAGTAATATACCTGATTTATAAAATCTGGATCTATGAATTGTTCTCTGGAAAATTGGTGAAAACGACAAAAAGGTTTATGGGTTCTTTCCTGATCCATACCACATCCTTCCACAAGTTTCTTGGTCATACATTTAGTAGTTTTTGTGTAATGCTGCTATTTAACAGACAAATGCAGATGAAAACATAACCTCCTTGACGGAAGTTGCACCTCGTCTTTTTAAGTAGCTCTTTTCATCATTGAGAATGACTTTCCTCCAATGGACAAGCTCGAAAAGGAACAGTCACCTGCACAGACTAGTACCTTTCAAAGAGCGAGACTGTATCGACTTCTTCACAAGTTGCATTGCTGTAACACAACCCTGTGTGAACTTTGAAATAAATTCCAGTGTGAAGGGATTTCACACAGTCAAGACTGCGATTGCAACATACCTGACACTAACTGTATATTTCTGTCTTGAGGCACCAGGTAGCAGAAGATATTTATTGGGTTATCTGTGGACACGCCCTCTGAGAGCTCCTTGCACTCATAGAGGAAGATCAAAGTTCAAGGAGCCATCGCTGCTTGTCTGTGAGTGCTGCCGGGCCTTCTGGGAAAAACACACAGCATTCCCACAGCCCTGAAAATGAGCTTTGCCCTGAGGTTAACCAGCTTCAGACACCGTGTCAGTGAGAAGACAGGCGGTGGGACCAAAAACACCCTGTAACTACCAAACCCAAATTAGATGTTTTCATCTCCGCTACAGTCTAATGGTGGCTTCAACTAAACAACTGCAAACAGTTGATAGTAACCCACATTTTCAATTGAGCAGTCGCGCCTCCAACTTTTCTCCGAACCTAAATTCTATGAATGCCGCTTCATGTACGGGTGTCTGTCTCATGACAAATGAGGTGCTGACTGAGAGAGGGGCAGGGTGGCCCGCTGGCAGACGAAGGCCTCGGAGGCTCAGAGGTAAACCTGAAATAGCCCTGCAGCTGCATTACAGCATTACATCACAACTGACTTCACCAACATGGCTGCCGCTGCATCATGCCACTGCCGAGATGTCATGGGATGGAAACAACTGGATGCAACGGCAATGAGTCACACATCCAAGCCGTCAACAAGGGAAGCGCTCTGGGGATCGTAGCAATACCCAGTGTCCTGCACGTCCATGTGGACAAGCAAGCAGCAATGGGATGATGGTCTGCACCACACGTCCTGTATAATTAAAATCAATGCACCACAACCAATGAATGCTTTGTTGTTTTGTTTGTTTCCTTCCATCACTGACAAGGCACAATGTATCTGCTTACATTCCTGAAGACATATGCACTGCAGACACCAGAAACACAAATTGGTTTCTCCTTTTCCACAAATACCACATTAAAAGAATGACTGCTCCTGCTCCTGACAACTTAGTGAAAACCGTGACTGCATTAAAGCCAAAAAAAAGCACAAGCTGAACCTGTACCTGCGGGGACGAGATCAAACAATGCCTGTGGGCTTCTTCTCACCACCAGTCACTCATTAAACCATACCTGAAATGCTTTTTGAGCTATTGTCTGTTTGAGCTCAGTAGTGGGAGCAGTCGTAACTAATATATTTAGCAGTAAAGCACGCGTATTGTCTGTAAAGTAGCAGAACGAGTTGGTTAACATGCTTGACCTCTACTGCCGTGCCCCACATTAGCAACTAATCTCAGGAGACAGGAACTGTGGCAGGTTTCACACAGAGCAGATGTCGGATGTGATGAAAACTACATGACAATCTCTGACAAATCTACAATCTATCTCAATGATACTGAAAGTCATTAAGTGTTTGCTGACACTGGGTTAAAATTTGTATCCTCTTCAATTGAGTAGACAAGCACTTTTAAAAAGAAATCTAGTTTCAGTTTGAGTCAGAGGTAACAAATATCTGAAGCTGGGTTCAGTCAGAGGGACTTCAAAATACAACTTCATGAGTCCCTGAGTTGAAATGGTGCAGCCATAAAAAAGTAAGCCTCATAGTAAGAATCATTTGAGCCGAGTGAAGAATTAGTGAGGTCAAGGTTTTGGATTTTTGGTTGTAAAATATTTCCAAAACTGATGTATCGGCAGATTTAGAAAAATAAAAACTGGCAATGATTCTTAAGATGGTGTGATATTTGTATTTACAGTTTCCAAAATTAAACATACATGCACGTTTTCTGCATTACTTAGTTTGAAAATTAATAATGTCATTGTGTCTGTTAAAGTCTCATATCAGCCAATTTTTATTGACCTGATTAATAGATTGGCTCCAAAGCAGATATATAATATTAGTTGATATTTAAACTTGATCGAATGATCAAGAACAGAATATATGAACAGAATATGAAAAACCATGTAGAATCAGCAAATTATCCTAAATGATAGATACCAATATATATTTACTCCAATAAGTGTACTTCAATATTAGAGATAGAGATTACTCCTTTGAGTTTCCCTATGGGGATTAATAAAGTATTTCTGATTCGGATTCTGATTTAACATATGGTCACAACTAAATTCTTCTGCTCAGTAAAATGTTTTGACTCGTGACACAGATGTGTTCTGCTGACAAAACAGCCTGAGGTTATTTAGAGAAGCATGTGCTCAGCACACATGGAACAGCTCAGCCCAGTGACGCTGAGGTCTGTCCAGACCCTGGAGAAAATGACCAGCAATCACTGAGAGTGTACACCCGTGTTCTGGAAACAGGCAGATTTCTTCTTCCTGGAAATCTATGGTGGCTTTGTGTGCGAGGACTCTGTCATCTCATCAGCAGAGCATCAAATCTACAAAAGAGCGGCCATTCTGGATTTAGCTGTGCTCTGTTCGTAGATAAATCATCTTGAAGCGATTAGACGTGCATGTGTAAAATATCACTAGGGTGCTGATGCACAGTGCTGCTAGCTGTGTGACGCGTGGCGAAGAAATCCAGTGATGAACTCCAGTAACTGATTGTTAATAACTGAGCCACTGAGCATAAAAATCCAGCTCATTTGAAGGCAACACCATGAAGCAGTTGGACGGGACTATATGCACTTGGCCAGACTGACAGACAGATACCGCGCCATGAGTAATGCAGGCATGACTACAGTGCTGCCCCCCCAGCAGCCCCTTACAAAACCTACATACCAGGTGGTCACCACAGGCGTACACCTGCCTCAGCAGAACTACTCTCACCTCCAAGTATGATGTACCCACATAAACACACACACATAATGGGAATATTGTCCCTCGGTTCCAGTTGGAGAAGATACAGGGGATGAGCATGACTGCCACTATCACACATCAGGGTCCTGCTTTATTGGTGTGATTACATCACCCCCAGCCATGGTCTCCCCTCCCTTGGTGTGATAAGGTTTCAGGAACACTGGGCACACAAACCAGGCCATGTGCTCCTGTGTCCCGTCTGCCAAAATAACTCAGCAGTTTCTAATACAGTACGGCTATGGTTTCACTGCAGTCTGCCCAGGTTTTGTAGGAAACAGAATGCGCGTAACCTTTTGCCATGTCAACACGACTGAAGTTTAAGATGCAAGCTGCCGTCCTGGAGCTTTTCAAACTTCTGATGAGTCAAACCTACAGATGTTCAAGTGGGCCCCTCCACACATGTCGGGATTTGTGCCCCTTTTGTGACTGATGTGAATCACTTTGAGTCACCGCTGTGTTGAAGCCACAACTCAGAAGAAAACAAAGATCCTGAGGAGGAAAAAACACGTTCAGGTTCCAAGCTGCCGAACGCTTTGTGCTGCTCTCTCCATCAATTGTCTCCATGAATTGTGTAACTCCTGCATGAATGTAGCTTTCTATTATTATAGAAAGAGGGAACGTGTCATGCTCGTATGTCACGAACATGAAGGAGATGATGGTGAGTGGCATGAGAAGGTTGAAGAGGGAGGAGCTGGAGGATAACTGAGATCATGGTGTGACATGATGTGTTGCATGACTATTCCAACAGTCATCTGTGTGCATTCCTTCCTCCATCATCCTTCAGGAGATAAGAGTAACCATGAAGTCTGGCTCTAATTAAAGTCACATTAAAAAAGTAATCTATCCTTTCAGCCTGAGTCCCATTTTACACACCTCGTTATCTCCACTTCAACATAGGCTATTTCACACTTTTTAAAAAGGTGACAGGGCCTAAATTGGAACACCCCATTAAGACCCTATGAAATCACCTATAGGAGAACTCCACTACAACTGCACGGCAGCCTATTAATGATGCCCTGCTCCCTAATTTCACTCTGCATCTGGAAGGTTCCTATGTCTGACCAGGAATAATCCAGTCGACCGGTACACACAGCTCGTTTGTCCACCTCGATCACGACGCGTAAAAAGCGTGTCCACCGACGCTGCGCCTTCCGTATGGGCGACCGCAGGAGACAGTCACGAAATAACGATCCAACTTACCCTTATTACCAGCAGCTCAGACGATCCCCAGCAGTGAAACAGAGGGAGTGCGAAAGAATTCAAAAATAAATCCGGGTCCACAGATGTTTCTCCAGTCAGTGGATGAGTGGTTGGTCACATCATCTTGACAGCGGCGCAGGAATAAAACGCGCGTCTTCGTTTTCCACCCCGCGGATGCGTAAACTGTGTGTGCGTCTCTGCGTGAATATTTTTGTTTAAAGACAAGCCCGGTGCAGTGGTGGGTTTGAATCTGGTCACTCTGGAGCGCACCGGCAGCTCAGGCAGTCCGGGAGGATGTGGCCGAAATGTGGGATCTGCCGTCCGGTTCCCTGCGTCCCCGCTGCGGACAGAGCATTCCCACACAGCTCCATGGATCGACCCGGGGTAAGTTTTTTTTCCTCCCCTGCCGGTTGTAGCCTAATTCAGTTTGCTGGAGTCTGTCAGCCCCGCCCTGGACTGGAGACGAGAAGGCAAGCCCGTCAAGATCACCGACCAATCGGTGCGTACACAGGGAGGCGCTGCTTCTCCCGGTGATCGGCGGTGACTAAGCGATATTCTGATCCAGACCCAGAGGTGGGTCCTGGGACTGAAACCAGGGTTTAACAACCTCTGTGATGCACATGTTCCACAAAAACGCAGAACCAGGACGGTCCCTTAAGTCTCCACAGGTGATTTAAACGTTAGAGTTTAATGTTATAATAATAAAAACAGAGGATAAACCAAACTCAACTCATGTGTTTTATTATATAAATATCTACCAATCTGTGCATAATTAATGTATGTAATGTCATTTTTCTTATAATGTAGATGATTTCGTTTCGTGGGAGTTCAGAGGTTAAGGTCAAATCACTTGTAATAAAAATCACAACTGCACACAAAGATAATTTCAAAATAATAATTGGTATATATAGATATATATATAGATATATATATATCTATATATATAATGCTAAATGTACCGTTTATGATAAATGGTACATTCCTTTTTTGTGAATATATATATATATATATATACAAACAAATTAGGGAAAGATTCACATTTCTTTACCATTTATGGACAAACCGTGCAATGTTGCCACATGACTCAGAGATAATCATGACATCACATGATATCAGTGATCAGCAGGGTAACCACACGTAACCTCTATGCTTTCACTACATTTCTGTGAGGTGAAGTGTATACAGTTCTGCTTTATTTACTGAGTCAATGAAACAACGTTTCTTAAAATCACAGAGCAGCCACATATTACCTGTTGGCCTTGTAAATAAGCATATATTTAAAAGATAGATGGATACATTGGATTAGAGAAAATGGAGCTGTTCAACTGCATCATGTAACACACTACTACTGCTGCTGCTGCTGCTGCTGCTGCTGTGTCTAATGAAAAGACCATTATGGTGCATTCCATCATAGTTTCAGTGAAAGTTCAAATGCACCTGGGAATATTCTGCAGTGGAGAGATGGATGTTAGGAAGCCGATGGTCACTGAGGTGCTGACAAGGGGCACCATGTACACAGCTCTCCTCAGATGAGGTTTCAGTGCACAAGAGGCTCATGTTCCTGGAAAACGTCTCCTTCATGGTTGCTTTGATGCATTTCTCGATTAAGACACTCTCCCCCGAGCTTGGCAGCCTGTGCATTTCTGCCATAAAACTAAAGGAAGACATAACATGGTCTCATTTTCATACTGACAGAGCCCATGATTTGTTTGTGTGTCTAGAACAAGGAATCATATGAGAGGCTGACTGCTTTTTTATTCAGTTGATCCAGAAAAAAACTGAGCAGTACAACTTTTTCAAGGGCATGGTGGAGGAATTATTGAGATATCAAAGTCAAAGCTAAAACTACATTCAAGATTTTACTAATGTCAAAGTACAGATGTATTATTTAAATATGCAATTAATTACCCATCCATGCATGATCATTTGAGGGTCTCGGTGGGGGCTGGAGCCAATCCTAGCTGACATTGGGCGAGAGGCGGGATGCACCCTGGACAGTTCACCAGCATATCTCAGGGCCAACATACAGAGAGAAAAGACATTCACACTTATATTAACACATTTAGATTTACAATTGAGAGTCTCCAATTAACCTCAGCCTGAAACTGCATATACTTGGACTGTGGGAGGAAGCCGGAGTACCAGAAGAAAACCCACACAAACGCAGGGAGAACATTCAAATTCCACACAGAAAACCCCGGCCAAACCAGGATTCAGGCCGGGAACTGTTCGCTGTGAGTCAACAGTGCTAACCACTATACCAGGTTATGCATACAATGGAAATACTCAAAATCTTGTAGTTTGCAGGGTCTTTTTTGCTTAAATTTTAACTGAGGTTTTTTCAAGATAGATCCAACAATTCTAATATTCTATACTTTATATTTTTATGCCTGTGTTTCTGTCAACAGGAATATTTTTTTCAACACCTCCCCCTCATGCTCCACAGCTAAATGCCAACAGACGGCATTCCTCCCTGAGGAGAAATCTGTTTCAAGAGTCCTCCTGGTTTTACCAACCACTGCATCACCAAAATAAAATACACAGCAGACAGGTCTCACAGCAACATGATTTTTCTTATGCTTCACAGTGTTTCCCCTCAGCTCGAGTCTCCTCTCTGCCATGCACCCACACCACAAATCGAGCTGATTCTGAGACACGCTCCTAAATTAGGCATCAGTTAGAATTTCAACCGTAGCAACGTCTTTATCGCTCTTCATCAACCATTTCACGTACACTCAAGTCTGTAAAGACCGTTCAGGGGCCTACCAGGGGTCCCTGATTGATATACCACAAAGTCACTGTTATTGATGGTGAACTCTCCCTCTGGGACTGAGGAGGGTTGAAGCCGGGGCAAAGGCAGCATTTAGGAAGCCACGTAGGGCCTGTAGGAGCACCCAAGGGCCCCTGCTTCCCCATCAATCAGATGCAGATAAAAGGGTTGAGTTCAAGGTTAGTGTTTAACCAAAAGGACATTGTCAGATGCTCCATAAACAGTTTCCTCTCCTTCAACCAAGCAGAGAAGTGGATGGGAGGCCATCATTTCTTGGTTAAGACCACAGAGGTTTTTTTTGTCTCCCTCTTCATTCATGGGTGACATGGTTTACCACATCTACAGAGGAGGCCAGATACCATTTAAAAGCACGTGCAAGCTTTTAACTCTCAGACTGCTTTTCTAGTTTTATTGATTTTTTTTTTTTTTTAGATGTCAATGGGTTTTACACCTAAAGGAAACACATTTTAATCCTCCTATAGAACTTGTTTGCTCCTAGCACTGATTGGACAATCAGCTCCTGGGTATAGAGCTGAAGTCTCCAAGTTAAAATACAGTGCATGCTAGTTTCATTCAGTGATGGACCACATGCTGCATGTACATTACTGGCAAAAGGCAACCCACTGCTGCAAAATACCACCGCAGGAAGGAGGCTGTTGAAGAAATGAAAAACGGCATAAAGGATTTCACTGTGTGGTCGTGTTGAGCAGATTCATAATCCCTTGTTTTTGTGATAAGGCTGGCAAAAATCCTCTCTCCCGTTCTCTCCCCGCCTGCATGACCCGTCAGTGGTTTCCTCCCTTAGCCACAGGTGTGAGCAAAGACAAGGCATCTGTTATCAGAGCAGCCAGAGAAAGGTCATGGGACTGGAGATATCAGCACAAGCTCAATCAATACACAAAATAGCTGGAAGGCTGAATGATCTACCAACGTGACCCTGCCACTGACTCTGCACTTTAAAAGTAGTTCTGCAGAGTTTAAGATTTTTCTCAAGTCTTTCTCTGCTATGATCTGGAAATCACCTTGGAACCCTACTTCTGTGTCTAGAGACCTCCCAGAAGGTCCCGACCCCTAGTTTGGGAACCACTCTGCACCATTACATCACAAATTTTCTACAATGCAGAACAAACAGAACATCATAAGATGATAAATAAAACTAAAAAAGTGAAAATAAGCCTCTGAAAGATCGTGTAGACAATCACATGAAAGCAGAACTGCCATATCTTGTAATGGAATGTGGTTTGCAAACATGATATAAATATGATAATGTCATGTAAACAATACAACTTACAGTCCATTAAGTCTTGTATGTTCAAAGTGTGTCTAAAATCAGCTTGTGTCTGCATCGACAAACTGGTATTCAGACTTAAGATCATAAACAAGGCAGGAAAAAATAGTGATATCATTTTGGTCGGTCCATTTAGGTCACAAGTTTGATACAATACTTTTATACAGCCACATATAAACCAAAGATAGCAGTGCCAGTCTGTCACCGTAGTGGAACTATATACAGCACATGGATATATATATGTACAGCTTAATGTTGAAGCTAAATCAAAGTGAAACAAGTCACTGTGTAAATTTAAAAACAAATATTAGCTGCTTCCTTTCTAAACACAGCACGAGGACAGGATATCACACGCAGCAGATAAACCCTTGTTCTTAATATGACTCTCTGACTCATGGTGTAGTAAGATATTTTCAGTCTGCCTGCATTCAGCTCGTCCATCTGCACACACAGACAAGTCTTTGGCGTCCCCACTCAGCGTCACTATCGCTGAGGTGGCTGCAGGTCCAGAATGCAACACTGCAGCCAAGCCGTTGCTGCTAAGATTATCAGAGGCAGCGACAATGAAAACTCGCCCCGGCCCAGACTTCACTGTCACCGCTGACAGGCAGTGGAAACACAGTCAGGGCGAACAATGGCCTTCAACAGTCCAGCAGCTGTGGCAAAGTCAACAAGCCATGCAAGGGCTCTTCTACTGAACATGCTCAGCAGATTTCTGTCTGGCTCAGTCATGTCAGTCCAGTTCTTTGTGTCCGTAATTACAGCACCAGGTTTCTCATGTGTTTCCATTAGAGATAGAAACATTCAGATAACACAGTAGAGGTTTTTGAGTGGAAAAATGATCCTTGAAATCAAAACTAAAGTGGTTCTCAAATAAAATTTTAGAAAGTTCTGCAATTTGTGACATCAAAAAGGAGGTGATAGGATATAGCACAGAATATGTGTAATGAGACCTGGTAACTATAGCTAAGCAAATATTTAGACGAGGAATTTTTATGGAACTTTTTATGTCGATGCAGTGTATCAGCTTACCCCCGGCCCAAGGACGTGTGCCCTTCACCTGTTCCTGCAATGACACACACACA